TTCATGAAGAATGAGTAACATCTTCCCAGCATGGTCAAAAAGACCCTGGATGCTGCACAGCACAGATCTTGTCACCATTTTGCATATTAAAAACCCCAAAACTAGATCCACAGTGTAGCACTTACATACCATTGAACTGGGTAACAGAATATTTTACTGTTGGGAGAACCAATTAAGAAAAATTCATAAGAAATGAGAAAAAAAAAAGCCTTAATTATTTCATCTTCCATTAGTCCCTTGCACGTTCCTGAAAATCCATTTATATCGGTGCTTCCATTTCTCCTCTGGGCCTTGAAGACTTTGGTATTTGGACTATCAGGACTGTACCTTGCATGCTCCTACAGAAGCATCCAAGGTGAGATTCAGTTTGGAAACCATGAATCTTAGCATTCTTAGCCCAGAAATGTAATTGCTTTAACAAGCCCTGCACCCACCTACACTACTGAAAATGTTTGAGGGACAGGAATGCTTTCCATCCCCTTGAACTGCAAAATCCCAAAGGCTTAGAGAGGGAAAGAAGAACAAGCAAGGTAAACAGATGCTCAGTATCATCTTGAGGAAGGCTATTCCATATCCTGCATCATAACTCCATCCAGAACAACCATCAAAAGTCACCATGTTCCAGCCCCCTGGAAAACCCAGACACCCTGCAGTCTCAGATCCCAAGAATACACTCTCCAGCTGAGAAACAAGGCATTAGTTTTCATGATTTGAATGAAGAAGTGATCATGCAGTAAGTGTAGGATACTTCCAACAAAAAAAGGAAGACTGACCCAATTCTGAAAACCCAGCTCTGTGAGGGGTAAGTCTGTAAGGTCTGTAGATAAGCCCTGGCACAGGGCATTGTACTGTAAGCACAAAGAAATCTTGTGACAACAAGGGGCCAGTTACAGCAACAAATCTTTCCTTATCAGAAAAAGGTCCTCAGAAAGATTAATTACAACACCTAGCAAGTCCAGAGAATACCAAGTGTTCAGCTTCTTTGATCCATTCTGAGGTCAAGTGAAAAAAGACATAAGGCAGTCCACGGTATTTTAGGACATGACTTGTAATCCACCTTTTGACAAATCAGTCATTGCAATGAGGGAAACCTGTACTAATCCATCAGAGGTGAGCTGCCATTACAGCCAGAGCTCTGTAAAGGCTGAACAGGACAGGATCATCAATAAATGATTCTGTAAGTAAATTCTATAATCAAACCACGGCAGCTGCAAAAAAAAAGTTTCCCTCACCCTGTTTTAATTTAATTACACCACTCCACATCTGATACTGAAACTTTGGCAATACCACCTCCTTCCCTATTGGGGGAAGTCCTCTTGGACTTTAAATTTTTGGATTTTGTCTTTACTTGCTTAGGTATATTTATTAGACACTGAAGTGTATACCCAGTTTAGCTATCACTGTTATCTTCTGCATGCGCAAAGCCATAGTGCAATAGGGTGAAATTCAAATTTTGTATCACTAACTTTCAACTGCAGGTAAAAGGGAGGATTGACTACAGCTTCACATTTCAAATGCAGTTTAACAGCTACCCCTAACTACTTCTAATCCATATCTCCAAGCTCAAGACCATCACTACCATCAAAACAGTCTGGGGACTAGCTGAGAAAGGCTATCCAGCCCTTTAGTAGCTGAAATCCTGAACTCCTCTTAAGAAACTACATGTGTTGAACTATTAAAAAATTCACCACAGGAATAAAAATCTGAGTGATTAGGGTGCACTATTTTTCAGTGCCAATTAGGAAGGGTCACATCCTCCAGCAAGCCTCTTGAAGAAAAGATGTGGCAGATTTACTTACTTTTTGGGCAAATGCAATAGAAAAATCAGAAACTGTGTAGGAGAGTCTGTATGGACAGTTAGAGAGGAAAAAAGGAAGAATGCAAATGCTGTTAATTAAACTGAGATTGCTGTTGCTGCTCTACCTTGAAGGGAAAAAATGTCCATACTAGTGGAGAGCAATCCTTTACTCAGCTCACAACTATAATTATGAATTTATTATGTTTGAAATCACCATGTGCAAAGCATCCTTGGATAGAAGGTATTTTCAAACAGTACATGTTTATGACACAGTGCTCCATCAAGTAGAAGTGGTAATTCACCCATCCTAACTATCTGGAGTTTGAATCTTGTATCTACAAAAACTACTGTGCAACTTGGTGATTGACAGGGAAAAAGAAACTCCTATGTTCTACCATAGAGTGTATATAAAAATAAAACGTATTTATTTTTAGTATTTGGTTCTAGATGGAAGTGTGAAGTTAAAAATAACTTCAGGAAAAAGGTTAAAGAAAGTTTAGGGTGCATGATAGTCTTAAAGCAGCAAACTCAGGTCTCCACTGAGAACCACCCCTGCCAAGCATCACCCAAGTCTCTACTCACCCCTGCAGCAGCACGTGACAACACAGGACATATGTCTGATCCACACAGAGCTTTCAGAGAAAATCTAGCATCAGGCAGACACACACACTTACAGACATGAAAACCAACAGCTTAACGGGGATTCAGAATGGCACATATGTGAAACATCACCTTCAAGTTACACCGTATGCACAGCACATCTCTAAATACTGACGTGACAATTGAGCAGTCGGGGCTTTGTGAGATATTTCACATTGGTGGCAAAGCCCTTGCTCTCTCAGCTTCTTTCACCACTCTGGACACAGAGCCCCTCCTAGAGCCCATCAAGAGGTGAGGGTAGCTCTTGCTTTGTTAGGTGGGACAAGGAAAGGGCATGCATCACAAAAATCTCTGCCCAGAAACATCATGGTGACAACAGCTATCATTCTGGAAAAAAAAAACAAGCTTCTTCTTTGTTGAAAACAAATACCACAAAAAGTATTCTCGCTACCCATCACGTACTCTTGCTTAAAGCAAGCTACTGGCGTAAACCAGCTCTTGAAATATCTGACACATCTTGACCCACAATGCAACATGCCTCCCCTGGGAAAAGCTGCAAGCAACTCTTCTGCCACAAAGAAGTCACCATCACCTTGTTGACTGCATAACTCCGGAGTGATCGATCTCTGACACGGAACACCCATGTGTTACAAACATCAGCAGGAACCCGAGGAACTGGATCCTCTGGTATAATTCCATCTCCCCTAGACTCACTAGGGCATGTGCTGCAGCTCAGTGAACACCTGCAATACCATTTGAGAAATGATACTGTGGATTTAAGTAAGGGTTGATTTTGTCCCAGTTTGGCTCAAAATACAAAACATTTTGAAATCCTGCACAAACAGAAAGGTTTGCTCTTCACCTAACTCTAAGGGTTGGTCCATCTTATGAGAATAGTCGACAGCCAACAGCCAGTGCTACATCTCCTGGAGCTGTGAGAGCTACCAGAGCTACATATGTTTTGGTTTGGGTTTTATTTATTAAGGCAGGGCCCTCTGAGACATGTGAACTAGAAGGGGAAGAGAAGCCAATTTGAGGTGAGAAAGCAGAGGAAAGAAAGAATGTAACGTTCACAGACTATTCTGTCACTGTCCAGGCTTGTTACAGAGGTAGCTCTTAAGCAGACTTCACAGACAGGCGAGTGGAAGAAAGAAACTACTTTTGACAAATTATCTAAATGCACATACCATGCACCTTTATTTTTTTCCTTCCAAAGAGAACTCTAAGTACTGTTTCCAACTGAGAAGAAAACCTCAAGCCATCAAGTCAGGTTTCCAAAACACCAGTGCAATATAATTTTTGATGAAAATTAACAAACAAAAAAAAATTGCTTTTTTTTTTGTTAATTTTCATCAAAAATTAACAAACACCTGAAGTTCCCAAATTCTCTGGATAAAACCAACACTCCCCCTTTTATTCTCTGAAGTGACATTATCAGTGTCCTGCTAAACCTGTGTTCCTTAATTAGCTTTCACTGACAGTCCACTTTTATACCAACTACAGCATCTTTTCCACACATGCACCTCTCTTTGGTAAGTACAATTTGTTGCTAACTCTACTCACTTCTAGAGGACAGTACAAGATAAGGGAATAGTAACTTCAGACCTCTACTGAAGAAACAATGTTTATGGAAAATACCTATAAATCTGGAATTCTTTCAGTACAGATGAGAGAAAAAAATTGTTCCAGTTAATAAACACTCAAGTCAGCAGTTTATTATTAATAATTACTCTATGACTATCTGTATATTCTCATGTGTTATGTACATCTACACATACATTTTACTCTTGTTTCATCACCAGAGCTGGCTACTCAGAATGCCATTATGGAAAATATTTGTAAAAGATCTTTTCTCCAGACCTGCTCCTTCCACTGTTCTTGGCACTAAAGGCTGGAAAAGTTTGTCTTGATAGTGGTTAAAGTCTGAATGAATAACAAACCAGAGAATTCAATTCAAGTTCAACTCTGATTTAAAAACAAGTTATGGTCAGCTTTTTGTGTATCAAACCTGAACACGTATTAGAGAGTCAGAACTTACATTTCGACGTCAATTTTTGCTAAATTTAAGTCCACTCAAAAGCAGAACACTTACAGCATCCACTGACGTGACAGACTGCACTTCCATTGGAAACCAGGCACTTAATTTGGTAAGAAGAGATTAAAAATAATAATGTTCTTAGACAATAGCATCTGAGCACACACTCATTGCAGTGTGTTTATCCAAACCCAAAGCTGGGCCCAAAATCTTAGCAGTATGGCATCTAAATGTATCTTAATATTTTCTTGAAATAAAACTAGGGTAAATATCATATAGAGGAATAAATTATATATTCACTGCTTAATTAAAAAAAATTAAAACCATTTAAAATGTTATAACAGGTAACAGGAAAATGAAGTAGATTTCAATAGAACATTTTTTCCTACAAGCATTCAAGTAGGCTCTAAGCTCCACCACAACACATAAACACATATTTTTGTAGCAGAAGAAAACAAACACAATTATATGCAATTTCTAAAAATCACTCCTCACCAAACTGCAAAGGAAAATGTGTTTCACAATCATACCAGTGGAAACATCCTTAACTAATATTCAGTTACTTACAGATTTGTTGTCCAGCCTGCAAGATCTCCACTGTCCATGATAAGGTGATTTTCATCCAAGAGCCCAAGGGGGCTGCTGGAGAATGCAGGTGTTGGAGACTGGGAAGAAAGAGAATCCATGCTCCCAGTTGGGGTGTCTTCTCTGGGAGAGCTGTGACTGTCAGCTAGGAAAGAGAGAACAAGTCAGGACAGTCAAAGAATTATCTCATAAAGCCAAATAGTCTGCCTTGGAGATAATGTCCTGAAATATGTAAGAGAAGAAACCTTTCTGTTCCATCTCCACTGGGTGTTTTGGAGGACAAGAAATCTCCCTGTATTTCCCCAAAAGGTATCATTGCACAATTTCCCCCACTATTCTCACCAGGCTTTCTTCACATACAACGTATTCCCAGTCCCTTTTCAGTTGTGTTTTATGTGAATGAAATGCTAAATTTTGGGGAGGTGTTTTTAGACAAAGGCAACACTTCTGATAAGAAAACAGTTTAGGCTATGTGCATTTGTCTCCCTAAAAACACAGTCTCTAAAGATAATTTAACACACATTTGAGGAAATGAGTGCTCTCAAATACAATAAGCACAGTCTTCTCAAACATGAAACAATGACATTTAGAAAGGTCAGAATAAGCAAGAGATCTCTAACAAACACCCAATACCCAAAAATGTTACTTTTATTACTCCTTTCTAATGGTGTTACTTTTAAGAGAGTTCACTGTATTCTGATCTATTTGTTTTCTTAGGCTACTCTTAGGATATCACTTGAGAGGCAACATATTCAAATATGATTGATTAGGAAAACATTAAAGGAATAGCATTCCTATCCCAAGGACCATGAGGTTAAGTTACTAATGTGTCACAGCGGTCACTGCAAACCATGCTGACACATCAAGCCAAACAGCACATTCTTCACTGACAAACTAACCTTCACCCACATAGCCTTTTCCTTTCATTCTTTATTTTTTAACATCAGCGGGACATTTCAGAAATTCTAAAAGAGGTGCATGAAATGAGGATGTTTGCAAGCATTAAAGTATCCAGCACAGCTAAGCCAGCAGTCTCAAATGGGGCCTGTAGCTGTTTTCAATATATTAATATTTAACAGTAATAAGGATCAATTCCAGCCACTCTTTACAAGGCTCCCTGCATCCCTTCCTCCATCCATCCTACTCCCAGTAGCACTCATGAACACAACCCACAAGCCTGCCAAATAACACCAGCAGAAATGTCTAGAGTGGATTAGATACCATTGTCTTCACCATCTTTGTAAAAGAGTTCTGCTCTTTTGGGCCCAAAAGATTTTGGGGAAAAAAAATTAACAACTATGTCCTAACCCAGCATCAAAATAATACAATCAAAAGCTGTTCAAATATTGTGCTGTCTTGACAAGTTATATCTCCCATAAATAGTAATATACAAGATGAAGTCCTGTACAACATTACTTTCTATTTCTAAATTAACTAGCATCTGCTCAGGGAACAACTGAGCTTAACTCTATTTCATCAAGCTAAGCACTACTCTTGCAATGATTTCATTTATGATTTTTTTCTTAATTAATGAAAAGTGCAACATCACAACAAGACAAATGTGGACAATGAAAAGCCACCCTTGATGGAAAAAAAAAATCCTTCTCCTAACTCTATCACAGCCTCAAATTTCTTCTGCTACAATAGCTCAGAGTTAGCAAAGCCCTCAGCTGCTTCCCCAGCCATCTCATCCTCACCCCCTCCCAGCAGCTCTGAGAGAACAACTTCCCTAGAGAGTAAAATGACATACAACTGAAAACAGTGAAATGATAAAAGTGATCATCTGGAAATTTCTCCCCAAGTAGCTGCTAATTTAAGGATCTAAATTAGCCTGTAGCACCAAAGTGTGATATGCTCTGAGGAGGAGAACATTACCTGGGAAAATGAGTCACTTGCACTGTGGCAATCCTGCTCACCTGGCACCTCCCCACTGCACCAAGGCCATGGTGCTGCTGCTTCACATTTACATAACATGAGAATCACAGGAGTGTCAGGTAAAATCTAATTAATTACATCTCATTTGCAGATGTATGTGTCACAGTGATAAACATCTGAGAGATCAGACATTACTGATCAGACATTGCAACCTTACTTCATGAATTCCTTAGAACTAGAGTTAAACCCTTTTAATCCATCCCAATTTCCTTTCAAAGCAGTAGTAGTAGCACAGTCTAGATTATCAAACCACATATACCTTATTAGAAGGTCACATTTACCTCAACCATTCACTCAGCATTACTAAAACACATTTGAAAGGAATATTAATCTGGTTCTTAATATTACAAATATGACCAGCTCACAGCACCTCCCTATAGAAAGCAGAGGATATCTGTTGAATTGTTTCCCAGAACACAAAGAAGTTAAACCCCAAAACACTGAACACTTGAGTCACGCACAACAGAGTCAACACTGGAGACTGTAGTATACAGGCAATTATGTTTGACATTATCTTAAATTAAACTATGTGTTAAATCTTTCCTCAAATTTTACTTCTTCCTTCCTGAGCCAGTATTTTCTCACAGTCTGTACTGCACTGAACTCCCAAAACTAAGACTGGGTTTTGCACAGTAAAAACAAATCAGGTATTTAAACAGGAAAACGCCTGCAAAATTCTATGGGATTAAGTAAAAACCCTCTAAAAACATGTTCAAAGACACTTTACATTTCTGATGTCTTCAGTTATCTCCTTTTGTAAAGTAAAACAATATTTTTATTCAGGAAGAGGCAATTCTGTATAACGGCAAATACAGATGACTAATGACCATCTAGCACATTTTCATGATTAAAAACAATATATGCTCCAAACCTAAATCCTCAAAATATAGGGTCATTGCTATGATTGCAACAGCACAAAGACCTCACCCTGTATTGTCAGTGCCAGAAGTTCTGCTAACTTCAGAAATTATAGTACCTCCTGTGCATGGCAGAGGTAACAGAACTGTGCCTCATTATCTCTTCATTCAGCTTAATAACCTGCTTTTGATTAATGCCCATCTCACATTGGGGTCAAACTACATCTTCCAAATAGTCATTGTCCGAAAACATCAGCAGATGATAAAGGGAATGAAGAATCAATGTTACTAATTAACAGACTTGCCAATCAATGCATGCACCTTCACTTTGTTAGGCTTTATTTTCAGGCATGACAATAATAAGCACTACTAATTATTATATTACCTCTCATATCAGGTTTCTGTGCTGTGTATTTCAATGATCTCCTTTTTAAGTTTTACACCAAATCTCTTACTGGGAGGGATTTTGCAGCTCTGCAACCACGTACCTGTTTTATAAAGCTGTTACAATTTCCCAGCTATCTCTCTGAAGAGGCTACATCAGATGTGATTCTATGGGGTTTTGCTGTGGTTCCATCAGAATGACATTAAGCATTAATTTCACTGCTTACCCCTACTCATCAGTCCCATTTGTACATCCAGGGCTGGCACTTGTTTTAGCCATTAATGTAAATTAATAATAGGATGAGTTGATTAGCCTCTGTGACCAACAGACTTAGCAGAGTCATTGTTTCTAAGGATGTGCTCCCTTCTGTAATTCTGGGCTACATTTTCCCTCTAAAATCTGTACATTTGTTTCTCAATACAACCGCACTTATTTTGTTTGAATGGGTGCAGCTTAGCACACAACCACAACTCCTACTGCCTGTCATTATTTGCAATTCTCCTAACTTTGTCCCATGTGCAAATATATTGTCAAATATTTGTATTTACCTCTCTAAATACTGCTACATCAACAGCATTCCTCCAGTTGCTTCAAACATCTTCAGCAAGCTACAAGATGTTTTAAAAATTAACATTGCCAAGCTACAGAACCCCATGACCAGAGACCTTTTTTCAGACAAGTTAGGTGACTTTGCATTATTCAAAATATTCACCTAGCAACAGACCTACCTGTGAACATCTCTGCTTGATTACACATTGATTATCATAACGAAGTTCTTCTTGACACTTCTTCAGAACTTGTAACATACATGGACTTCTAGCTATTTCCCCTTTTTCCACCCCCCTGCCCTTTTCCTGCAGTTTGTTTTGTAGAACCAGTAAAGACCCTAAGCTGCTGGAGATGTGTCTTTTAAGTTTTGACGTGTTTTGTTTCTTTAAGTGCGTGTTAAGGACATTGCTGGAACTGAATCAGCTTTATGGGTTTCCTTTTACCTCAGAAGTCAGGGGCTCCTAATGTTGATAGTCCAGTATTTTTTACTGTTTCTCTCCTCTCACTCCTCTTTACCTCCAGCATTGTTCTCCAGTGAGCAGCATTGTCAGGTCTCCCACTCCTATGAAAAAGCTGACTGCCACATTGGACTGACAGGTCCTTTCAAAGAGGAGCTCCAGAAAGTTCCTACTCTTCTTTCCAACCACCTGAATTCTAATAAGCTCTTACCTTCTAAAACATGCAAGATGTGACTGCCTTTAAAGCTCATTTATATTATTCTTTGAGCATACAGTCTGGTGTTCTTGGTGCCTTCACCTTCTCCTTCTAAAAATGTCAATCCCCCTCCTTTTTCTCTCATATTACACTCATTTTTGGGTGCCAAAGAGAGCCTGAACAGATGAAGGACATGAGGGTTCTCAGTACAAAAGCAGTAAGTCTGTATGACATCTCACAAATTTCTGTCAACATTCCAGCCATCAACTCTTCACCTTCCCTTCGTCATATTCGTGGGAAGGCTCTGAGTGCCTTCAGCTTGGCCATTTTTCTAGAGCTGCCATCAAGCTGCTTCTACAATTCATGTCCCCATCCTACACAAATAGGTGTAAGATCCAATTTTACTATCAAGAGAGTTAAAACTTGTTTCACATTCTCATCACCTTTTGCATACTATTTAAATTTTTTGACTGCCTGGATCCTTTTAAACTGTCATGTAAATGAATTTCTTGTTTCACTGATCTAATCACAACACTCATCCAAGCCTTTGAGCTTTCACTGTGCCTCTGCAACAGACACCCTCTGCTCTGCCTTTATGGCTGTTCATGGTTCAGACCAGCTCCATCCAGAAAATAATAAATATCTTAGGCTGATCCTAAAAATTTACTGGTGTGTCTAGCTGCTACTACTAATCCCTCAGTTTCTAACCCAAATATCCTTCCTCCTTCCCCCCTTCCCTGCCTCATGTCACCCTTTCTCATAATC